GTTAGCTTCTTCTCTCAATTCCTTATCTTCAACTTGGCTTTTTTTTTTTTTTTTTTTTTTTTTTTTTTTTGTGACGAACAATTATGTGATTATTTGTAGATAATTAGTTTGAAAATATTTGATTTGGTGTTTTTTTTTTTTGTTGTAATTTATAACAATTATTAGAAATATTAAATTGTCCAGTTGTACGTTGAGATGATGAAATCGGAGAACTGGTCGAGTGGATTCCATGCATTACACAAGGAAAAGGTCAGATTTATTTCACAACTATATTTTATCTATTTGTTTTTTTGTTGATTTCGATTTGAAAATTTGATTTATAATGTTAATGATTGTGTAATACCTTGTCCCGATATCGATTATCGAAACAAATAACTTCGATAAACTTTTGGGATTCACTTGTGTTAGCCGTGTTTTAAAGTTTTAGATTTTTTTAATACTGCAGGTTTATATGAATCTAGTTTTATATTAATCGAGTTTTTAAAATATTAATAGTGCAGTTACCTCTTAAAATTTGCATTTATATTAATGCAATTGAATAATCGTCGAGTTCGAGTTCTTCAATCTGTTGATAGATACTTTATCATTTTCTCGAACTTTAAGATCTTAATGGAATTTAATAAGTTGCCATCTTTCAAAATGCGATGACAGTTCGTAAACGTGAATGGCCAACCCCAATTAAATCGTATTTTTTTTGTTCTTCATTTGAACACGAATAGTTAATACTAATGTTCAATATGAGCCATTGTTAAAGATACGTAGTAGACTAGTACACTTTTAGCTAAAAGTCAACTCGTTAATCTCATATTTTTATGTACAATGTTCACACATCTTACATAATTTTCAATCATTCATTCATTAGGATAATGTTTCGTAAAACAATACACGCACAACTGTCATTTTAAGGCAAAAGCTGAATGTAGTTTGTATGTGATCTAGGTTCACTTTTCGTATATAAACTTTAATTTTGTATACAGTTGACTTTATATTGGTGCAGCTTATATAAGCTTTTAAGTTTTAGCCACAATATATCACATTCTGAGAGAATATAATATATTTCTGCATACTAGGTAATCTTGATGAACACATTTGTACCTCTACACCAGCTTCTTTTCGTATTCGTTATAACGGAAAAGCGAAAAACCATAATCAAGAGTTATTCATATTTGTTAGGCTAAGGTGTATATATATATATATATATATATATATATATATATATATATATATATATATATATATATATATATATGTCTTTATCATATCATATTGGTAATATGTTTTTTTGTTACTTTTCGTATTATAGGTGATTGCATTTTCCAGCCGCCAAAATGACACGGTTTGGAGACGAGGGCGGCGGAACGAGCGCAGGAGATGATGATGTGACACCATATGTTCACAAGGTGGGGGTGCCACCTAAGCAAGGGATTTTGAAAGAGATCAAGTTTGCATTGGAGGAGACTTTCTTCCATGATGAACCTCTTAAACATTTCAAGGACCAATCGAAATCGAGAAAACTGTTACTTGCTATACAAGGCGTTTTCCCGATTCTTGATTGGGCTAAACGCTACAAACTCCACTTGTTCAAAGGCGATCTCATAGCTGGGCTCACCATTGCAAGTCTATGCATACCTCAGGTGAATTAATCAATTATATTAGAAAAAGATAAATTAGACAAATTCGTTTAATTACGTTTGGTATATAGTTTCTAAACTATATTCGATTTTCTTCTTTTGTTTGCTATTGCATTAGGATATTGCATATGCAAAGCTTGCCAACATGGATCCCCAGTTTGGCCTATGTAAGTTTCATTAAAAATAAGACAAACATGGATCAACATTTGTTTTAATGTCTTGAATAAAATAATAATAATAATAATAATAATACCTTTTCTTTTTTATATGAATAATTTTGCAGACAGTAGTTTTGTTCCGCCATTGATTTATGCAGCAATGGGAAGTTCGAGAGATATCGCCATCGGACCGGTGGCTGTGGTTTCTCTGTTGCTTGGAAGTTTGCTTCAAAAGGAAATCGATCCCAAACACAAAGTCGAGTATCAGAAACTTGCCTTTACGGCGACTTTCTTTGCTGGGATCATTCAGTTTACTCTCGGTTTCTTCAGGTATATATTTTTCCTCTTTTTGTAAAAAGAAAAGAAAAAGATTCTTAATATCATCAATGATTTAATTTAACAACAAAGGACTTTTTTGTCTTTTTTTTGTTTTCAGGTTGGGTTTCTTGATCGACTTTCTTTCTCACGCTGCGATTGTGGGATTTATGGCAGGAGCGGCCATAACTATCGGCCTTCAACAGCTGAAGGGGTTGCTCGGTGTAAAGACTTTTACCAAGAAAACCGACATAGTTTCTGTTATGCGTTCTGTTTGGACTAATGTTCATCATGGGGTAATTAGATCAACTAATTACAATCTTCTTACATCATTAGTAAACCTAATAAGATTATGAAGCTCATTAGTTAAAACGTTTCTTATGTTTTATTACAGTGGAATTGGGAGACTTGTGTCATAGGAATCACATTCTTGGCTTTTCTGCTCCTTACCAAGTATATTGTAAGAAGCCTAACTAACTTGTCTTATATATATATATATATATATATATATGTATTCTAATATGTATATACTCATAAGTTTTGTTGGATCAGGGAAAACGGAACAAGAAACTATTTTGGGTTCCTGCGATAGCTCCATTGCTGTCTGTTATCATAGCAACGTTCTGCGTTTTCATCACCCGTGCAGACAAGAAAGGAGTCCAAATCGTACGCATTTGCTTACTTTCTTCAGAACTAGTGATTAAAAATAAAATAAAAACTAATTTATAAATCGTTTTATCTTATCCGAAGGTCCGCCATATTGAAAGAGGCCTACCCCCTCCATCTCTCGATCAAATCCACTTCACCGGCAGCTATGTCATGACCGGTTTCAGAATTGGCGCTATCGCAGGCTTAGTTGCACTAACCGTAAGCCAAGAAAACCTTCATATAGGAACTTGTATAATTTTCTGAGTACTTATAACATATATTTATATATATAACGTAAAACAGGAAGCAGTAGCAATTGGTCGAACATTTGCAGCATTGAAAGACTATCACTTAGATGGGAACAAAGAAATGGTGGCATTAGGCACAATGAACATTGTCGGCTCTATGACTTCTTGTTATGTTGCCACAGGTTTGTTTCGTAATCGTCTAACACATTATTATTATATATATAATCCTCGATTTTAAATTTTATTTTGTTTTTGTAACAGGATCTTTCTCGAGATCGGCTGTGAACTACATGGCGGGATGCAACACAGCTGTGTCGAACATAGTAATGTCGATAGTGGTGTTACTAACGTTGCTGGTGATCACACCCTTGTTCAAATACACACCCAACGCTATTCTTGCTGCCATCATTATATCTGCTGTTGTTGGATTATTCGATTACAAAGCTATGAAACTTATATGGAGATTCGATAAATTTGACTTTGTTGCTTGCATGGGTGCCTTCTTTGGTGTCATTTTCATCTCCATAGAAATTGGCCTTCTCATCTCGGTACAGAAATACATGATCAATTTCTTTTTTTCATACAATTTTTTTTAATGTTCCGAAAAATGGTTCTTGAGACAAATGAACGACAGGTGGCATTATCGTTTGCTAAGATTCTTCTGCAAGTGACACGTCCAAGAACTGCGGTTCTTGGTAAAATACCTCGGACTACGGTTTATAGGAACACTCAGCAATATCCAGAAGCAACTAATGTTCCTGGTGTTCTCATTGTCAGAGTCGACTCTGCAATCTATTTTTCCAACTCCAATTACATTAGGGAGAGGTATTTACTTATTTATTTATTTATATATATTGTTTTAATTTAATTTGCTAACTTCATTTGAATCCCAATGTATTTCAATTAATTCTTGATCTCTTACAATAATTGTTATTTCAAGGTTACTGAGGTTGTTGAGTGATGAAGAGGAAAACCATAAAGAGAACGGCCAGTCAAGAATCCAGTACTTGATTGTCGAAATGTCTCGTAAGTGATTCTCTACTCGTCTTTTTGTTTTTTCCCGACATGGAATAAAAATAAAATTCTATTTTTTTTATGTATTTTTATTTGTTTTGTAATCAGCTGTGACAGATATAGATACTAGTGGAATTCATTCCTTGGAAGAGCTGCAAAAAAGTATTCAAAAGAGAGACATACAGGTGAATTTAATTTTGCATGTTTTTTCTTATAAACACACACACACCCATGCGGGTGTGTGCTCGTACGCTAAATTAATAAACGGTAAGATCTAATTAATTAATCCTTGCATGTAACACAAACCTTCTATGAATCAGCTTGTTCTAGCAAATCCAGGCCAGACTGTATTGGACAAATTACACGCGTCAGAATTTGCCAGCAAAGTCGGAGAAGACAAGATTTTCCTTACTGTTGCAGACGCTATCTCGACTTTGGCTCCCAAACTGCAGCCTTGAAAGGTTGATTTTTTCGCCTCGAAAATCCATCAAAGATTTATCGATACATTTATTTTAAATAAAGTGTGGAAAAGATTATCTAAATTTGAAATTGTGTGGGGTTTGGATAAAGATGATCCTTAATCATGCAATACGTGTACCTTTGTGTGTATTTTCTTGTTTTATTTGTAATATCTTCGTCATTTTTTTTTGTTCGGAATCTCTCCACAGTTCTGTTGTGGATCGAGACAAAGTTTGCATCGACGATGATGTATTTGAGTTTGGGAGTGTCGTATTAATTCATTTTCGACTTGGTTTGTTTTGAGTTTTTGTTGTTTTTCTTTGAATTTCTGTGCTCTTTAATATTTCTCAAGAGTCTTTCTCTAAATTGATTGAATTGGCACTTATTAATCGAACTCGTTTATATTATCGAAACTCGTACCAAATGAGATGCGGGTTTGGGATTTTGCCCAAACCCCACGCCTCAAAACAAACACAAAAAATAAATAATAATAATTTATAAATTTAGAGAGTTTTCTTTGATGAATAAACCAAACCCTGAAAAAATAGTTCTATAAAAGCCATCACAATCACAACATTGCCAAATAAAAGGGTAACAATCATAATAATAATAAACAAAAAAAAAAGAAAAAAGTAAAGAAATAATAAAATTCAATACAAGTTAATAAGAAAAATCTCATACCATCACACTACAAGAAAATAAGCTCAAATTCAATTCTATGTACCCCTTCTTTTTTCTCCGGAAAAAAAAAAAAAAAAACTAACTCCCGAAAAATGAAGTCGCAGACATCGATTTGGTGCGCATGCAAAGAGATCGGAATCTTTCTTGTGTGCTCTTACATGAATAGAGGCAAGGATAGAATCACAGCTGACGTGGCAAGAAATAGAAACTCGATCGAGACAGTGAGTGACGAAGAACCGGAACTGCCGGAGCCGGTGGGTCCCGAAGCCGGAGAAACTTCATTAGCTCCAACGGGCTCAGTTGATGGGCCCGCAACTGAGCTCGGAGATACAGCCAATGGAGAGAGAGCTGTAGAAGAACATAAAGTGTATATATATGGCACGTGTTAGAAAAGGATTGTGCAAGCATATTAAAAACATCATGACCAATAACAAAATTAAGTTTTCATTTAGATTCGAGATCGAGATTTGACACTACAAAATACAAATAGATAACATTTGGAAAAATTGTAATTTGGTCCTTTACGTTGGTCTATTTAGGGTTTTAGTCCTCTATGTTGTCATTTTCGATTTTGGGTAACTTACGGCCACCCCTAAAGTAAGGTCAAATTACTAAAAAACCTTCAATGTTTGGGTAATTACAAGCACCCCTCAACTATGAATATTCTCAAGTTTGTACCCATTTTATCCCATTTGAGCTCCACATTTTGAAGCAAGATGATCGTAAGATGTGTTTATTGGCTTTTATATATCAAATTGTGATGCATCAGAAACTGAAGTTTTGCACAAAACGAGTACAAACTAGAGAACATTTCACGGAATCTAGAATATTATGTTGAAATTGATACCATAAGTGTGAACGTGTAAGAAGATCTTCATAGTTGAGATGCGTAGTTGTAATTACCCAAACAAGAGAGATTTTTTTGTATTTTGACCTTAGCTCGGGGTGGTTGTAATTTACACCAATTTTAAATACAATAAATAACTTTGCAAATTCCTTGTCTAACTTAATTTTGATAGAATTTTAATCATGTGAGATGGTGAGTTTATAAACAAAGTTAGAGGACCATTTATATTTAATGCATACACACACACAT